TAATGAAAGCAATGAATGATTCTCCTTTAATTTTCTTCTCCCTGAGTCCAGTTTATTCCTTCCTTCCCTTCTCTTTCTCTCCATCTTCTGTTTCAGGAGGTCAAGACTCCCTCGAAGAGGCTTCCGAGGTGAGCGGAAACTCACCAGACTCTCACCTCCAGTCCTAACTACAGCAGTAAATGCATCCATAGAAGCAAAAAAACCTTCTTTGGCGTTTAAGATCTTTTCCTACTTCATACCCTAATACAGATTAAGCTAAACAAAGCCAGTGTAGACATGTTGAGTGCTTTAAGCCATAAAGAGGCATTTCTCTTGATATAAGCTATATTACAAGCCCTAGAGGCTACAATCAATTTTGTGACAGTGTGGGCCAAAAAAAGATGTTGACAGAAACAAGAAGGAGAAGAACAGCTATTGCCACATCCATATAGTGCTTTTACAGACATCATTCCGAATGCCACCAAATAGTGCTTTTATCAGAGACTGTCCTGAATGCCACCAAAACCTTTACAGACAACACTATTACCAGCTATGAATGACAACTGCTGCTAAAAGCTTTGCTCGCAGTTTTCTGAACCTTTAATGGAAGTTCTGACCACTGCCAAAAGCATTTCAAGTAACATCTTTCACTATTAACAGAAAGCATTCAACCAAGTGGGACAAAAATGTGAAATTCACTTTGTATTCATCCACATCTTTCAGGTCAAAGCACATTGACAAATATAAGTTCAAGTATTCCCTCACCCAAGCATATATTAGCATTTCTTTCAAGGTTGATTGGGAACTGAGACTCAAAGAGATGCTTATGGGCAAAAAAGATAAAGAAACTTACACAGGACATTTGGTTTGCCCAAAATATTCTTAGAAATCAAAGAAATTGATGAAGAAACACATAAAGCACATCTTTACATAAGGTTCTAAGCTACCAGATAGAGAGATGAGGAACTTACTTATATAAATAGGCAGCAATTCCTAGAATTATACACAACAGGACAATATCAATGCAAAAGTTTCGACTAGACCTCAGCTGAAAGAAAACCAAATGAACCATTTCTTAGAACTGTGCTACAAAGAAAAACAAACAGCAAGTGAACTAACTCAAATACAGAGGGCAATTCAAAAATAAAATTAGATGCAACTCATTTACTTGTGTAATTGTTTCCTTAAGCCTAACATTAGTATTTCTGAGATCAGCATTCGCCTTATCAACCTGTAACAGGGTAACAGGATCAAAATCAATCTGGGTAATGAATATTGAATAACAATATTATTTTTGACACTGCATTCTCCCCATTGTATCTGACAAGAATCAAACACAAGGAACCTTTCAATTTCTAACCTTGGCTTCGATCTCATCCATCAAAGGCACTTGCCTATCCAATTCCTGCACATGTTACAGAGAGATGATGAAATTCTATCTTTATCTCATTGCATGGAGTTCTCTGAGTAACATTAAAGTAACCAACCTCATTCATGTCATGTGCCAAATTTTTAAGTGTATCCAACCCATCTGATATAATATCCAGTCCTTGATCCTGCAAGAGTGTAATATTACATCACAAGACAATGCATCATGAGCCACAGCACACAGTCTAATAGTAGTCAAACCATGTGCACTATGTTCTTCAGGTTATCAGCTAGACATGAACATTGAACAGTATGGATCAGGAGATGATACCCACCTGTTTCATTTTCCGCATCTCATACTCTTGCCTAAATTGGCTCGACTCTTCAGTTTGTTGAAAGAACTCACTTTCAAAATTTCCATCTGCAATAGATTGTTGATACAAGATAAATAAGAAATCATTAAGAGATTAAAGCCTCTTAATCATAAGGTTATAATAAACTCCCCAAGAAGAACAAACGATTGAGCATCAATAAGTTGGATTGGTCACCTGAGTCAAATTTGATTTCTTTACGAGAAACTGAAGTTGACCTTCCTCCAGTTTTCTTGCCTGGAGCAGAAGTACCATCTGGTATCGCTTGAATCCTCTCAGGAAGTGCAAGAACTAAATCATTACGGGTGGCAAGTTCTTCTTTCGTCAGCCCTTTGACCTGTGATTAGTTTCTTTTTGTTATGATCACAAAAAACTATCAAACATTGTTGCTAAATTCATCGTTTTTTAAAATACTCCACAATAATGACAAATTATGTTTCAGATAAATAAAATAAAAGCACTTTAGATAGGAGATATTTTTCTCGCAGATTTCACGCCACAGAACCATTTTCAAGACACGGTGATCAATTAAGATATAATATAAGATCCTTAATCATATCTACTCATTGCATAGGTTCACAAAATTCTCTCCACTCAAAAATAGGAAAACAATACATTAAAAAAAAAAATACCACTTGTATCCGTTATTTTTATTTTGACGATCATTATCTTCTAGTTTCTTCGTTCTGCATTTGCAAATAACTCGGTATATTTCTATAATTTAGCAGTATAACAAATCGCTGTAAATTATAAATTTCAAAAGTAAAATTACAGAAAAGGAAACGGAAAGGGACGACTTTTTAAGCGAAATAATTGTGATGTTTTGGAGGCATCTATTGATTAGTAAATTAAATTAGTGGGGTTTAAGAGAATAATGACCTTCTTAACCGCTAATCTCTGCAATTTGGGGACCTCTTCCAGCAACCGAGCCTTGGTTCGACGAATCTCTGCATTCATAGCAACAGCAGCGGCCCTGTTCTTCTCCTTGGAAGCGGCTTCGGCTTTCTGTCAAAAGACGTTAAATGTCATTATATAGAATTGGATGTTTTATCTGGTGTGATCTGAAGTGAAGCAGATAGATACGAGGTAGGGAATAAGAAATAGAGAAACCTGAAGAGCAGATTCAATGTCGGCCTCGACAACGGCATAGAGACGAGCAAAGGCATCGTCGCCGGAGACGTTGAGGTCCCTCTGCTTGTCAACGTCGTATTTGTCATATTTCTTGCAGATCTCGTCTACGCGAGTCAGAAGGTCGATCACGCTCATTGTTTTTTCCCTTTCTCGCTAATCTAAACTCCAATTTTAATTCAGACGCAGGGACGATGAAGAAGGTCGGGGGGAGAATAACAAAAAAGGTTAAAATCAATGAAAATGCGTTTGTTCTTTCTCCCCTGATTGCGTCGCAGCGCTGAATGAGCCGCGCAGCGTTGCATCCGGTTACCGCAGTGGAAACTTGAATTGCAAAAAAAAAAATTATTAGAAAATTAAAATTAAGAAAATGTAAAATAAATTAACAGGCCGGCAGGCCCCCGCCCCGAGTCGATTAACCCGAACTGATGGGAATTGATGTGGTGAGTCACGATTCATCAAGGAAATGGGGGATTGACCAGGCATTACGTGTAGAACCGTAGGGGATTTGAATGGAGCAACATGAAGAAGTTGATTAAGCTCGCTGCGACTACATTGATTTTAATCTTAGGGACGTTAAGTGGTTGACCACCAATGGAGGGTCTGATCCTCAAGATCTGCCAACCTCTTGTGGTTTAGGTGTGTATCCAGATTCCAGAGTGTTTGATTTAAAAAATAGGTGCATCTTAAGAGTTCTGATCTGGAGTCTAGATGGCATTGACCAAACCAAACTACTATTGACAGCCTAACACCCTATTTTATTTAATGTGTTTGTTCATTCTAATCCCGAGTGCAATCGCCAATCGGTATGGTATCGGTATGGCCATCATTTCTCAAAGAGTTCAAATATCCTCTACGGTTCTACAAACATCTTCGATGTTGTCATTCATGAAAAAGCGTATAGGTTGATATGAGGCGCATTCCGTGAGGAGCAAATCCGAGTTCCTTACATCCCTACTTTTATGGAGGATTTAAACCAATTTTATCATTTTTAAGAGCAAATTAGAACCAATGGTATTAGATCGGAACCAAACAAAAAAATGCCAAATGACCCAATAGTTGAGGTGGTCAATCGGCATCCACCAAAATAGGATGCGTGGGAGTAAACCCTGTGGAATAGCTTCTATCGAATTTACAAAATAAAAATAAATAAATAACCGTGGAATGGCTAAACTTGCTCTTTCTGAACTCGGATTCAGTCTGCTCACATCGTATTCACAGCCACATGCAACTTTGCATGGTTTTGTGAGGACTGAATCCCATCTTGCTCTTTTCCCGTGCCTAATTTAACTATGTAAAATCAAATAAAAATTAAAGGAAATTTTCTATTTTAATCCCCTGAACTTTGGGGTAGTGTCAAGTTAGTATCTTACTTTTAAATGTGTTATTGCAGTATTTAAATTTTCAGAAAGTGTCAAGTTGGTTTCTGCCGTTACTCGACCGTTATCTATTGAAAATGTCAAAACTATCCTTCAAAAGAAAACATTTTTCATTGTCTTCTACCTTGAGGTTGAACCCATTGAGGTGTTTGAGATTCTAGACTAATGAAGTCATTGTCTTCTACCTTTAGATTTGAAGCACATTCTTATCTAATTATTTCTTTGCTTTTAGATATTGTTTCTCAGTCATATTTCATGTTTTTCTCTCTCTTTTTCTTTAAAGATAATCGGTTCAGTTTCAAGGTAGAAGACAATAAATTGTGTCTTCTTTTGAAGGGTAGCTTTGACATTTTCAACAAATAACTAACAGTCGATTAAAGACAATGATCAATTTGACACTCTTTGAAAGTTTAGGCACTGCAGTGACACGTTTTAAAGTTTGGGTACTAACTTGACACTACCCCCCAAAGTTCAGAGTACTAAAGTGCAATTTTCCCTAAATTAAACTGCACAAAAAAGGTTATGGCTTTAAAAACCAATTAATTGATTTCTTAAAAAAAAAAACAATTATTTCATTTTGGTTGTGAAAACTGAAAATCTTTAGCAGGGATCAAAAAATTTCACTGGATCATTAAATCACTGATTCACTACCCAGTCTAGTCCAACTCAAAACTTATTAAATATTTTTTTTCACTCTAATGACGTAATAATTGAGATGACCAATCAAAATCCCTCCAAAATAAGAGTACATGTGTGAGCAATGGGCCTTTATTCCATGTAATCTATGTAACACTATAATAATAATAACAACAACAACTTTCTACATATAATTTGCCAAGGTAAGGGTGACCAGGTGGGCTCATGGGCTTCCTCAGAAGACTCATGCCCAAAGTTGCACCCCTATAGAGCCTAGTTAACAACTAATTGTTTAATTTAGACAACCAAAATTTCCCCTTTTGGTGAAAACTGTAATGCTTGTGTAAAAGACAAGTAGACAAAAGTCTCTTCTATGTATAAAATAATAAATTGTTAAATTATTAAAAGCTAGATCATAATAATATGTGTGTATGTATGTATAACTGTATACATACTAATAAATGTGCACATGTGCTGTACATGACAATTTCAAATGACAATAATAACAATAACACAATAACAAAAACAATAATATCATTAATAATTTCAGGGTTCTTATCAAAACCAGTTAATGTAACAAAGATAAATTATCAATGCATGGTATGTGTTGGTGGAATTGTTGACATCTTTGATTAGGTTAACGAGCTATTGATGAGACATTAGTTTTCTTTCCGTTTTTGTATTTTAGTTATTTTCATCATTAATTATTCTCATATTTATCACATATTTCTATTTAATATAATGAATATATAAATATATAATATTAAGGGTATGCTTAAATCTTTTTTTAAATTTTATAATATTTATATATTTCTATTTTTATTATTTAATTTATAACATCACAAATTAACATGTCTGACTAAGAAGAAAGGTGGTTTCATTTGATTTTTAGAACATTGGTTTTTATCACTTTTTTATCTATTGGTTAAACTAACCAATCCTAAGCTGACCCAACATTAGACCAATATTTTGAGTTCATTTATCATCAACTTACTTGCTTGTAAAAAACCACTAGCTTGATCAACAACATGTTGACCTAACTATCTAAATCATTGTAATATTTTACCTAGTTAGTGGTGTTATAAGTTAGTCATTAATTTTCTTTTTTTTTCTTGATTTTTGTATTCTATTTTATCATTAATAAAAATAATTTTTATTTATCAAACTTATAGTCTCAATACTATGAATATATAATATTATATATATGCTTATATTTTTCTACAAATTTTTTATGTTTTTTATAATTTATTGTATTTTTATCTTTGTTTTTAATTTTTATTATTTAGCTATGATGTCATGTGATGCCCTATTTGACTTGGATGGTTAATCCATTTGCTCCACAACTTAGATGGAAAAATTGGTTTACTTTTGAATCAATTTTGTCATATTCCATTTTCTTTTTTGGTAAAAAAATAAATCTTATTTTTCATACTTATTGTGTTTAATATGATGAACATATAATATTAGACCTGCTAAAATGTTTTCCACAAAAATAATTTCTATATTTTTTTATTTTTTATGTTTCTATGTTTTTAAATATATTTGTAATCTTGGAAGAAAAACAGTCAAAGATGAGGGGGAGAGAGAGAGATAAAAGACAATTTTGGAGAGCAAAAAAATAGCTAGGCTGGTGGTGCTAGCTATTGTATTTATACTAAGGCAACCCAAAACATTATAAAAAAGATAAAAAACTACAATAGTGCCCTTGCAGCAATAAATAATAAAACTAATAATAGGTCTAACAATTCTAACACTTTCACTCAAGTTGGGACTTAGAGGTCAATTATGTCCAATTTGTCACATAAGTCATTGTGCCACAATGATGTAGACCCTTTGTAAAAATGGTAGCTAGTTGCTATTCAGAACTTGTCACATAAGTCATTGTGCCACAATGAGTACATACTTCCCCACTAACAAGTGTTTGCCCACTTCAATATGTTTAGTTTTATCATGGAGAATTGGATTAGCTGCAATATTGATAATAGCCTTGGTGTTACAATACAAGGACATGGGACTATCAAGGTTAGCATGTAGAGAAAAGAAAACTATGATAGAATTCATCTTAGCAACCAAGGCAAAAGGTCTATGCATAATCAACTCTATACATTTGAGTAAAACTTGTTGCCACTAATAAGGCTTTAACCTTTCCATGGTGCCATTAATTCTATACTTCATTGTAAACACCTAGTTACACATTATAGGTTCCTTTCCTTCGAGAAGGTCCACAAACTCTCATATACCATTTTTATACAAAGCATTGATAGAACATCTACCACATTCTTATGGATAGGAATATTGTCAATGGAGGAGAGAAAAGCATGAAAAGATGATGAAATATTCTCATAGGAAACAAAATGGGAGTTAGTGGTGCAAGACCTAACTCTCTTTCTTTGTGCAATAGAGATGTTTAGGTTATTAGCACTATCAGAGTCAATAGCAATGGGATCAGACATATATACGGGAATAAGAGTACTTGGTTGAATAAGATCTACCTTTGATGAATATGATGGTATTGGTGGTACAATTTCAAGTTGCTCAAATGTTCTTGAACTTATTTTTGGCCCTTACAATGGCGAATGAATACACGGAATGGAGGAGGATCGGGGAGTGGAAAGAGCTTAGCTTGAGTATAAACTTGTTTCTCCTTAACCCTACACTCCCCTTGGGGAGAAACAAAGAAAATGGGGTCATTTTCAAAAAAAAAAAGGACACATTTACTGAGACATACTACTTCCTAGAAAAATGAGTGGAACAATGGTAATCCTTTTGAGAATGGTAATCCAAGAAAACACATGGAATAGTGCGATGATTAAGCTTACTAAGAATGAAAGATCCTAGATAAAACACACGGATAGGACTACAAAACAAGGGAGCTTTTGGAAACAAGAATTAATGTGGGGTCTTATACTCTAACAATTGAGATGGCATATAGTTAATGAGATATGCAGAACATAAAATAGTAAAAATGTCCATAAATTATTAATAAATAACCATAAATCTTCAAATAATATAACCAAAATAAATTACCATTACTTACCATTATCAATAATAATAATACTATCATAAAATAGTAGATTTCTTTTTAGAAATTAGCACAAATTAACATAAAATAGTAAAAATATCTAAAAACATAAACTACAAATCTTTTTATTGAAAAAATTATATTAATAGAAATTACTAGAACTTCTCAAACTTATCATGAATATTTTTTCTAGAAATTGGTATATTAAAACAAACATGACCATGTCAAATGGCCTCTCCTTTCTCCTTTACCCCAGCATTTCATTTCTTGCCTATCTACCTTATACC